AAAAAACATCAGCACATGAAACACTGACTTTCCTCCCCAAAACTCAGCCAATGAACAAGCAAAGAGAATTTTGCCAAACTACCTAAAATGATAGTGTGAGCTATCACCAGGGCTCTCCGGGTAAAACCATGAGAGAATTGTGCACCTGTCTTAGTCTTTAGACAACTGCAGACAACCACTAACATCTAACCACAGTTTAAACAAAAAAAAAAAAAAAACCTTGAATTTTACCCAAATAGAATAATTAAAAAAAGTTAAATTCTATTGAATGTCTATTATTCATTCTTCCAGCAACATTTATTGGTTGTATATGAAGTGTCAAGAATTTTATTAGGTACTTTCCTATGAACTATTTCTTCTAATCAACAATGTTGTAAGGTACAGCTTAATTTGTAGATGACAGCTATGCAACTAATAGAACCTTCTATACAAGAGGTATTTATGAAGGATCTGTTATGTACTGGCATTCTTTTACATACAGCAACCCAATCATGAATATTTCAGGAGTCTAGGCTGCGAGTGTACACTGAGATACCTACATTCCGTGTCTAAACTTAAAATTATGAATGATAATATTTTGGAGCTGGTTCTTAAACCACTGAGCTAGCTGACCACGCACATCTCTTCCCAAATTCGCTTTTGGCAATGTTGCATAGCAGATTGAAAGGAACTATGGTGGAACTACTTGACCATTTTAAAAAGCCATGGCTTCATTGGTTTTCTCATTGTTGCTATAAAATACCAGTCACCAGAAGTTAAAGGAGAAAAGGTTTCCTTCAGCTCAGAGTTTGTAGAGACTTCAGTCCATAGTCAGCTGACTCCAAGGCAGGACAGCACGGAGGTTAGGCACTGCAGGGGAGAAACAGTCCATGGCACAGCAGGCAGCAGTGACGCAGCAAGCTGAATCTCCCTTTCCCTTTTATTCCACCCAGGCTACAGCTTATTGGTTGGTGCCACCCACACCCAGGTGGAGTTTCTCTCTTCAGAAAATCCATTCAGCCAAATAGTGGACTATTCCACTATCACAAACCCATGGTCCTGAACTTTGGAGAGATATCCAGATAAATACCATAACACCATCACTACAGTTCAGTGTCTATACATTTGTTTTTGTTTCCCAAAAGCCTCTTGTGAAATGTCTACTTGTAAACACTGTTTATAAAGCCTCGCTGTTACACAAAACAAGTTCTAGCCTCCAGTCTTGAAATGCATATCCTCCAAACAGCCTGGGAGGCCAAGTGTGAATTTAGTTCCAGATTCCACAGTACTCTATGCCAGAATTTGGAGGGGAGGGAGAGAGTCATTCCGGAGACACAAGACCCCAGATGCAGGCTGAAAGCCTAGCTCTGTCCACTTCTCACTCCATCTGAGATTTCGTCACATGCTGACACAAAGTTCATGTCAACACCAGGAGACAGATAGCCCAGCACACTCATTTCAGCCTCACCGCTACACACACCACCCTTGGTGTGAGCTGCCCTTATTAGCCCATCCCCCCATGCCTGGCTCCATGCCCAGGGCCTGTGCTTATCAACCTGAATTCAGAAACACAGGCAAAGGGGCAGCCGTGCAATCCCCGATGCCAGTGCCCCCCCTCATGTGTTTCTGACGCTTCTGCAGCTTGTGAGCAGCTGTGCCTCACTTCCTCCATATGAGACCCACCGTATTAACCCTGACTGCTGCCTCGGACAGCACATGGAGAGACAGATGGGACGGCCGACTGAAGACCGCGAAGAGTTAAGGTAGATAGGAGAGAGCACTGAGGGAAGTGCTCACTTTCAGCTTCGCAATCTTTTATTTTTGGTAGTGAGGAGAGAGCCCAGAGCCTTCGCACTGACCCAGATCCCCTGACTCCCCAATTCATGTGTACATACATCCAGACTTGCTGCCTCCTATAACAGCCTCCGAGAGAAACGGGATTACAGGCAGCATGCGTGGTGTTTGCCCATCTTAAGAAAGATCATTTATTTATTTTAACTGAAGTTTGTTTTAGAAATAAGTATTACAAGGGCCAGGGATTTAGCTCAGTGGCATAAGCACCTGCCTTGCAAGCGTATGGTCATGAGTTTGATCCCCGGTACAAAAAAAAAAAAAAAAAAAAAGTATAACAATGTACTGCTTTGATATATTACACATTGTGAAATGCTTAACTCAGGCTGGTTAGCATATCTATTACCATACGCACTGTTTTCTGAGAACATTAAGATGTACCTCAGTGAGTTAGTGACCCTGTCTGAAAATAAAAAGTGAAACATAGTACTGGGAAAGTCTAACTCAGGGCAAAGACTCTGGGCTCCATCCCCAGTAAAACACACACACACACACACACACACACACACACACACACACACACATTTTCCTTAGTAATCATATGCAGACATTTGCCACCCGTATAATAGATGTCCAGAACTTTTCACCGGGTATGCATGAAATTTTGTACCTTTAATCTACATCTTCCCAGCCTCCTGCCCCATTCCGCAGCCCCTGAACCCCACCACTCTATTCTGCTTCCGAGTCTGTCATTTTTAGATCCCTTGGTGAGTGAACATGCAGTGTTCCTCTTTCTGTGCCTGACTCTTCACTCAGCACGGTGCTCCCCAGCTCATTCCTGGGGTCACAAGTGAGAGGATTTTTTTCTTTTCAAAGGCTGACTGGCATTCTAGTGTGTTTGTGTGTGTGTGTGTGTGTGTGTGTGTGTGTGTGTGACATTTTCTTTTTCAGTTCTTCTGTTCACTTGTGGGTGGACACTTAGGTCAGATCAATGGATGTGGTCCCTAATAAACAGTCAACTAAGACAAGGACAAACAGGATCAAATCAAAACAAAAGTTTCCACACAGCCAAGGAAGCAACTGATAGATTAAAGAGAAAATCTATGGTATAAATATCCACACATCATATATCTAATAAAGGATTAATATCCAGAGTGTATGAGAAACTCAATAGTAAGAAAATCAAATAGCAGGTTCTAAACAATTTAAAACCCTAAATAGATTATTTCTCAAAAGAATAGATAAAAGTGGCCAACAGACACATGAAAACTCACCAATCAGAAGTGAAATCTGCAGCCACTTTCGCAAAGCTACCGCAGAATCTATCTTATAGCCCCTAACTTGTTGGTAAGTACGAGATGTGCAGTAAAGCAGCTGTCTGTGTTTCTAACTTGCTGCAAATTATCAAAATATTATTAAATAATTAATCAAGATAACTAATGTAAATTACAAATTAGTACTTCTGGCTAAAAAAAATCACTAATCACCAGAGAAATGAAAATTAAAACCATAATGAGCTGTCACTGTACACTGTTAGAATGGCTTATCACAAAGTGAAAAGTAAGTGTGCATAGAACACAGAGAAAGGCGGACTCTTGAACACTACTGGTGGGAGTGTAAATTCATACACCCGCAATAGACAGCACCATAGAGGTTCCTCTGAAACCTTAAAAATAAAACCACTGACATCCAGCAATCTTGCTCTTGGGCATCCATCCAAAGCATGGGAAATTGGTGTTCAGAATAGTCATATGTATTCCCAGTTAATTCAGGAAGCCTCTTCCAGAAAATAGCAGTTTTATTTGCAGATTTGTTTTGTTTTATTTGCTTATCTATTTGTAAAAATTGATCTTTCACTTGCAAATGTTTTTATTTGTGTTGCATTAGTGCACTGTGTTCACACTACAGAAGGCTCACACAAGAGCGTGCATGGACTTCACATGTGTGCTCCTCTTTCATCCCTTGCCCTCTCCTCTCTCTCCTCCATCTCTTGACCCCCTTCCCAGCTGAGAAAGACCTCTCTTACTATGATCTAGCTTTCATTTTGCTCATTGTTCATACTTCGGTGTCTCGAAGTATGAGAAACCACAGAACATTGCTGCGTGTCTGATTTGTTTCACTGATATCATGGTCTCGAGATGCACCCTTTTCCTACAAATGACTCAGATGCTCCAAGTTTTTAGCAGTGCACATTTGTGACTCATGCAGTTACCCTCATGGGGGCACAGTTTTAAACCTCATCCACAGGTTGCCTTGCTGATTTATCGATGATGTGTTTTGTTTGATGTACTCTATCAGGAACCTTGTACACGCAACGAGTGTTTCAACAACTTTCTGGAAGCTCCAGCAAAACTTAGCTCATTTATTTCAGGAAGCAGGAGCCACGAGGTAAGAATTAGCTTACCTGTATTTCTGATCTGTCACAAGTTATCAAACTACAATTAACTGATTTCTACTCCTGGCTCAGCTAGAACTTAGGCTTAAAATACAGGCAACCTTGGGGTTTGCTGGTTTGCAGGCCACCTTCCCACGCTCCTCTCACACCTTGGGACGAAGTCTGCTGTTCCCTTCCCTGGACACAGGGTGTCAGTAATTCCATGGGAGACCTCTGGAAGGAAGGGAAGTGGAAGGGGTGGCCACAGAGTCAGGGACATGTTTGTGTTTTGCCCACTGAGCCTCGCTGACAGAGGAGACTCTGCAGTTTTGGAAAGCGGGGCTATTTTGAGTGAGACCCAGGTTTGGGTTCTCGTTTCCCCCTTCTCTGCACTGCCCTTTGTGTCCCTCTGAGTCTCACAGCTCTGTGTCCTCAGGCAGGAAGCAGCAGGTTGCAGCCGGGCTGCCTCTGGGCCTTCCTGGGGTGGGAGGTAGAGAATGGTAGAAGCCTGCGAGCCTATGTCTCTGCTGGGCTTCACTTTTCACCCTGTGACATACATCAGCATAGCTAGGACCTGAGGTTGTGCCACAAGCCCTCCCGCTGTGAGCACTCCCAAGTGCATGCCTGCCTGCCCTGCCCAGCGCAGAGCCCAGGCACAGCGCCCTCACTGGTCTTTCCCTTTTGTTACCTTAAGGGATGTGTGTTGTGAGTCAAATCCCTGGACAATCAAGTGCTTGCAGAAAGGCCCTGTGCTCTCAGGCAACCACTGTTTACTCCGCCAGAACTGGGGAGAAAGGAAAGGGCCAGGCCCAGGGAACTGGACAGCCCGGCCTTCTTGGCAGTCTCTTGCAGCTAAGCAGGTTCTCTCCACAGAGGCTCTTGTTGCAATGATCTGCAGGCACAGAGATGCCACCTCGCCTCTGCTCAGGTGAGAGCTGGTAGCCCCTCCCTGCCAAGTGCAGAGCTCAATGCCCAAGTGAGGTTTGCAGTAAAGGAGCTGTCACTGTGAATAGGTGAGGAAGAAGGGTGAGAGCTCCAGCACTTGCTCCTTCTGCTGCTGCTGGCCCAGGGACAGGACAGACAGGACAGGTGAGATGTTCTTCCTCGCACCAGGAAAGATTCTAAACTGGGCAACATTTTGCCTGGAGTCCTGCGGTTTGGTAGTAGTTAATGTACTTTCTCTTGCATCTGCTTTTCCTCCAGGCCATAAAAGATTTTTACTTTCTTGTTTTTAAACCTCCAAGCTCCTTTCTGGAATTGCTACACCTTCAGATTGAGACATCCCTCCTCCGCGTTTGCAAACCTCCACTGTGTCTGCTAAGGGAGGGTTACTCCCCGAGCTGCCAGGAGCCAGAAGGCTTCCAAGTCAAGGCCCACATTGCAGCAGAAACTGGGGCAGAGCAGTCCTGGGATGTGACAGACATCGGAAGGCTCCCTCCCCAGCGACGTCTAGGACCAAAGCGGAGGTGATCTTTATTTGGTGAGTCTCATGTGGGTTGGTGCCTAATGCACATGTGTGACCAGTTACAACTGAGCTCAGCTCTCTCCTACTCAAAGGGCTTGAGGGTCCAAGCCCAGGGGCTGGGTGGAGAAGCTCTCCAGTTGGAACTCTGGTCACACATTGCTCAGAGTCCTGGGGCTGGATGTGATGGTCCACCCGGCACTTGGAAGAGCCTTGATTTTGGAATCGGTGCATCTGATCACTTCCTGCCAGCTCCCCTGCTCCAATTATGTTTGGCTCAGTCTGGTCGTCAAATCACTCTGCGATCCCTAAGCTGACCCAGAAAGTATGCAGAGGGGATAGAAAGAATTCTGTCTGGGCAAAACAGATTGGCCGTGAAGGAGAGAGGGCTGTGACTGGGTTTTTGAAATGTTCCCTAAATAATCCAGCCCAAATAAAGGTGGATGTGTATCGACCATTTATTTTCTTGACAAAGTTCAAGAAGAGATATTAGAGATTTTAGAAATTGATTTGTTTAAAGGCACAAGATTTCTTGTAACAAACATAATAGTTTGGTTCAATGATTTTAGAAGTCTTCCAGTCTTCTGCATTGCACCAATCAATAAATGTCTTAGTAATTTGAGTTCCAATCTGAATGTGGTAATTGGGAGAAGCCAGAGTTTTCTCTTTTAACCTTTGGAAATTATTCTCCCATGAAATTTAATACTCTAAAGAGGTCAGCAGGCAAAATGGTGAACTTTCCTCATATCTGCAAGTTGTTTATCTCTCAGCCACATATTAGATCAGAAGAAGTTACAATACATAAGAAAAAATGAGGCTTTTGAACTGCAGGGACTAAATACCTGGTAGCATCAGTTAGAGAGTGTACGTATCGAAATGATATTAAAAGTTCAGGCACCACAAATATAACCTGGTGAATTTAGACCTTCCCAAGTGGAAACTAGTTGGCTTTATGATTTAAAGTTTGAAATATAAACAAACTGTGAAAAATTTAAGCCTCTACAGAAAACATATACCTTCCTCCTCCAAAGCTGAAATATCAGAGTGAGATCAACTAATAACTAAAGATCTTGAGACTTAGCATTTTAATACTGTAAGTTTAATAAATTAAAATTTCTGCTAGCATGCATTTGGATATAGGGAAGCGTTTGACCACCAGCATCCAGGAGGTGGGGCCAGAAGATGATTGAAGTGAAAGGAAGGTGAATTTCATGATACATGTGTGAGAAGTGTGTGCAAAACTGTTTATCTACCAAGCATCACATCCTCGGCTCCTGGTAGACGCTTTCTGTGCTGTAGCCTCAGTAAAGTGTGCGAAAAAACCCTCAGAGAGGTTTCCCTTATTTTATGGGTGGTCTTAAGCTTGGAAAGAAAAAGTAACTGATCTTAAAATGGGGGAAACAAGAAGTTACACATACTACCCTAGCATGGAAAGTTTAGATTTGAATCATTTTCCAGGGACAAATTTCAATGTTATTAAATTTACAGTATTAAAACAGTAGTTAAGTCTCAAGCTTGGTCTATGCATTGATCTTGGAACTGTGAACCTAGAACTGGAGTTGGTAAAGCCAGCAAGGGACTCTGTCCCAGGCCTCTGAGCAAGCAGGCAGGGGAAAGGGGCTTACACAAGTTGGCTGTAATTTGTTCAAGCTTGCTCTGCGGTTAGTGGAGAGGTGGCCCCAAACCTCAGCTTCCCAGCCCTGTGAGCCCGTGAAATATCCCAGTCCTGATGAGAATGCAGAACTTCCTGATGTGTTAATTGCAACTAATTCAAATCCTAGGCTTTGGAGGGGATTCACCTAAAGGTGAGTACCGAAACCTCACAGGTATTGCACATAGGATCAAAACTTAGGCTAATGATATGCACCTGAGAAGACTGGTTCCTCTGCCGATTACTAATCCCCAGAAGAAAAGGCTGCATGGATGTTTTTAGTAATAATGATAGGCAAGAACAGTGTGTACTCATGGTGGCAAATGTCAGGACTGGCAATATCTATCTTATCTCTCTGCCTTCAAAACAGGGGAAATAAGAAGTTAGATACAGGACTGTATCATGGAAAATTTAGATTTCAATCATTTTCTAGGCAAAAATTTCCTCCCAAGGAAGACTCCTTTATCTACTTTTATTTATTTATTTTATTATGTTTTATGTTACAGATAATAAAAGCTAATAAAACAAAACAGAGTCAATCCCATCAAAACAAAGCAATGAAATTGGTACAGAGCTTCACAGTAGGATCATAGGAAAATAACAATAGCTACCATAGTGTATCTTGGTATCGTCACAGTAGTTGTCCATTTCTCCAAACATAGCAAAATCAAACCAGAAAAACCCAGAATAATGCCAATCAAAACAGAATATTGAGTAAAGCAAAACAATTAATTGGAACAAAACAGTGAGAACATTATGGGATTTCAATAACAAGACAGAAGGAAATCCCCCATATTTGCTATATTGCACATTGTCGTCCTCTCAAGAGATGCTGAGACCACCAGCCCCAGGCCTGAAAAATCAACCAAACAATCCAAGCATTCAGTGGCTCTTTGTACCTCGGTTGCTATCCACTGTGTCTGTCCTTGAACAAGCCTGTTGCTTGGGAGAAGGAGGGGTGCGGGTAGACTCCCAGTGGGGGTGAGAGTAGACTCCCAGGAGGTGCTATCTGACTTTTCTCTTCCGGGCCCTGCATGGCTCGCACTGCTTCCATCTACTTTCTTCATTTTCCAAACGCTGCAGGAGAAATTAAGGGACAAGTGTGAGCTTAAAAATGAAGGAGAGGAGGGGGAGGCAAAGTCCACGCCATTCACCAAAGTAAGATAATCTTCAAAACAATTTAGTTCTGCCAAACAGAAGCCTCAGACAAAAGCCTGACATCTGAAGGGGAAAAATACGTTTGGTTATTAGGAGAGAAAACACAGAACATAGAAACACTGAGTGATGGTGCAAAATAAAATGGAAAGCATCCCATCAGATAGGAAGCTGCCAAAATTCAAGAGCCGTTTTACAGGACCGACAAAACTAATCTCTCCAACCAAAACCAGTCTGATCGTTTATAAGCAAAACTGTGATTGCAAGGAGAAACAAAATACTAATTAAGGATAAGATAAATATTTTCACTTCATAGTTACTTGCCAAAGAAATCCCACTGACCAAACACGTGTACTTTGTGTGGTTAGGAGTACATATTTTTTCTTTTCTTCTCTTCAGAAATACACAGCAGCTTGTGAATGAAATCAATTGTCATGACGCTTCAAAGGGGCTCGAGTCTGTTAGGTCAATTAAACAGATTTCCCCAGTCATTCTCTTGTGCAAGCTTCTGAGTTCTATGGAGTGATTCACCTTTAAATATTGATGATTGTTTATGTGGGGGTTTTCTTCTTTTTAAATTCTCACCATGTGCACCCCAAGGAAGCTTTACATAACCCACAAACATTAAATTTCAGCTTTCATGGAGATGTGTGGATTACCATTTCCGTCATCATAACCTAGGGAAGAGAGCAGGAGGGGTAGGAATGACCCACAGGTCCCTGCAAGATACCCAGACAACCCCGGCAACACCCAGGACTTCCCAGTTCTTCCACATAACCGCATGGGCTGCACCAGCTCAGCCTCAGGTCCCTCTCTCTTGTCAGCTCCATCAGTTTGGCCAGGATGGTGAGTATGGGGGGATTCACAGGTTCCCCTATGGAACAGAAATGTGCTTTATCCTTTTCAGGTCAAATGCTCTAGGTAAAAGGAACACAAAAGATAAACAAAGCAACCAACAGTCTGTTTGTGGGTGCAGATGTCTGTGGGTGTGATGGAGCTAGCCCAAGAGTGACAGGGGAGCGCTGCCATCTGTAATTAAGGGACAGGGCTCATCACCGTGGAAAACTACACCCTCAAAGCCTGCGTCCTCTGAGCAGCTGGGTCCCAAACTTTAAAAAAATCCTTTCAGCCAAAACAATTGCAAACCCATGAAAGACCATTACTGAACCTGAATTTTTAGAATATATGCCAACACACATGGGACTTTGAAAAGTAAATAAGAAGTGGATTGGAAAATGGCGGCGAGCTAGGGGATCGAGCGAAGAATCTCTCCAGAGAATTCAAACTCAAAGATAAAAAAAGACAGCATGGAGAGGACCAGACAAATCGATAGCGATTCTTATTAACCAAGACAGTACAACTGGAGGATTTAAAGTCGTGCTGAGACCGGAGGCTACAAATCCCGCGCCCTTAAATCAACAAACAGACTCGTGGACCCAGCACGAAAAGCTGAGTTGCTTTTGGAGACCGCGGGAAACTGAGACCCAGATCGAGACTCCAAGTAGCAGCCAGTTCTGCACCGCTGCACCAGAGCGGATGTACAAAGCTCTGGTGATTCAAATCTAAACGGTGCACAGAAATCTGACCGGTCAGCGCTGAGCTGCGAGTGGGGGAAAAGTGGACAGCTTGGTGTGCGGCGGTCCCGGAACGAGGACTTGCACCGGACTCTGGTGAGTACAGAAAACTCCGCCGCTGCTGGGTTTGACCAGAGAACAGCTGGCCCGCCACCACGGGGAAATCAATAACACAGAGTCTGGTGCAGACATATTAGCCTGGCGGCAGAAATCGCAGCTTGGTAACATCACCAGGTCCCCCTGTAGGGAGGGCTGGTGGAAGACATCTTGAGTCCTGGCAGAGCCTGATTACTTGTTGGCTTCAGCTCCACACAGAGAACTTAGTGGGAGCCATCTTTGTTTTGGGCAGATCTGCTTTTCTGGTGCACCTATCACAGAGAGGTTTGGAAGAGAACGGCTGGGACCTGGGCAGAATCCTGTGCCATTACTCAGCTGCTTCTGATTCAAAGAGAACTGGCAGGAGCTTCTGGGGCTAAACCAAGCCTCTGCTTGGGGCCCAATAAGCAGATACAAAATAGTCACAACTCAGTGACAACCAGAAAGTACAGCCTAATTTATGAACTAACTGACACAGAGGCTAGAGACTAGACTGTACCGCCCCTACATCCCAGCCTACCCCAGATAACAGCAAATTGGGG